TAGTAGAAATTTTCTGACCATTTTTGTACCAGATGTAGGATGGACTATCATGTATTTGACAACTGCTCTGACAAGTCAGCGTTTCAAAGTTGGAATATGATGATCTGCTCACGTGTACCTGAAGAGCTGATTATGTGAAGAGAGAGCAAAAATCAGAGTGGAGACTCTGCTCTGCTGTTCTGTTTATCCATTTGCAAACACATACAGTTATATTCATAACAAGTTTGGACAGATGTGTAAATGAAAATTTTACCTGTGGCAGTCAGAGAGACTCCAGGTAAAACAGTAAGACCACGTTTGTTTGTTATGTATCTGAACTTGTACACAGCTGAGTCGCTCTCTCTCAGGTCTCTGATTGTCAGAGTGCAGCTCTTCCAGTGAGAACTGTACGACACTCGACCTGAGCCTTTTTTTAGATCATCAGGGTTATATTCAATACGTTCAGTGAGCCAAATTCTTTTTGACAATTGTAATGGCTGGTTGAAGGAGCAGCCTATGTCCACTGTTGATCCTTCAAAGGCACAGATCTGAGTAGAAGTGTAAGTCACTCCATTATTACTCTGAACCACTGTAACACAGAACACATCAGAATCAAAATCAAATCCTCTAAAGTAATTTACATTTGTTTGCACCTTCCAAAATAAAATAAATCACTTTAATGCTGTGATAAGGTTCTGGTTAAAGGATTATTATGCACTGGGAAGAGGTAAAAGGAACAATTACTGGTGAACTGATCTTCCTCTACTTCTTCTAAATGGTAACTCTATGCTCTAAAAAGATTGCAAAGCTGCAAATCTGTGTAGGTCCGTTAGTACAAATAACACAATTTGAAAAATTTGGGTTTATTGCGAACCTTAACATTTTCAATTTGTAACAACCGGAAACAGCTCTGGTATCAGGGTGTAACCATTGATATAAGTCAAAAATAGAGATACACAATACCTGATAAAGAGAGAAGAAAGAGAACACATCTGCTCGCTGCTGCACTTAAACTCATAGCTGCTCCTCTCATTTCTTAAATCACATCAACATGACAAATACTGTTCACTAGTTAGTCTTCATGAGACGCTGAGGTGAGATGAGATCTCTTCTGTGGTTGGAAAATATAAAAGTCATATTAAACTGTCTTCCTTCCTGGTGTACACGCTCAGTATGGGTAAATAGATGAAAACCTGTAAACTCCCACACTGAAATGAAGAAGTGGTTCTTATACAGTGCAGCACGCAGAATGAACTTCTTAAAAACAAACACAACATATTTGAATCACTTTTTAATTTTACGTTTCTGGTCCAGTTTATTAATGAGATCATATGATCACAAGACCATAAAAATTTTCTATACATCATTAGCTTTAATGTAGGTTTACTTTATGCAAAACTCATCTCGCAGAGAGCTGAGAGCAAATCTTTAACACAAAATGTCTCCTAGATAAAAACAACATAGGGTGAGTCAGCTACAACTACTTGAATGACAGTTAGCAGTCTTTCTGT